ATCTGTGCAAATGCACAGGGTCGAATACTAGTTCATTTAAAATTTGACTATTTTAAAGCCAACATTTTTTAGATAAATAAAATAAAAAAATAGCAGTACTTTAAGTCAAGAAAAACACGCGATTTTGTGTTTTATTAGTTACTACTTACTAGTACAATACCAATGTATTATACTGAGTGTTTGTTAAGAAATTTATATTTGAAATTAAAAATAATAACAAAAAAATGTTTTAATTTTCAAATACTTTTTTGAATAACTATATTATTATTTATATTTAAAATAGCACACATCACCTATACAGCTTACGGTCTTATATTAGGCCATCTCCAGCCATCGTCTCTACTCTAGAGTAGAGTTAAACAAAAACCAAGTTTCGTCTCCAATCGCTCGCGCTACATTTTACTCCACATAATATATATTTTTTAAAAATTATTTTAATTTCACAAATGTATATTGTTTTACACATACTTAATTATTTAAATTACTATCATTATATAAATAATAGAATATAAACATTACAACAATATTTATACAAAAATTATATTATATGTTAAAACATGTATCAAGTATTTACTAAAATATTAATTTAACAGATTTCAATTTATAATGATCATTGTTCGTCCAACAATTTACCACATCTATTTTTCTATTATAAATAAATTTGTTAAATGAATATGTGTATTATGTTGAAAAAAATTGTGGTAAATTTTTATTCATATGTTAGTATTTTAATAATAAAAAAATTACAAAATAAAATTATAATAAATAAAAGCCCAAAATTATTTAACATAATAAATACATTTACTAACACATATATACCTAAATTTAACAATAATATTATATTAAAAAACATAAACATAACCAACCTATTGACAAATGCAGAATAGCGTAGGTTTCTAGCGCTGCATTGGGCACAATCTCTAACCATAAACGCTATTCCAACGTAGCATTGGAGAGACTCTTATATTTTTTTTTAATATATCATTTAATGATTTTATAGTTAAATTAAATTAAATAGTTTTATTAAGGTAATTTAATTTTCATTATAAAGATTAATATAATTATNTTATTTATTTTATATGTATAATATCGGTGTCAAATCGAAATCCATCAAGACATGATTAATTTTATGTATTTTGTATAAAAAATAGTAATAAATAAATAAATTATTAATTTTAAACCTACTTATAATTTATGTTATTACTTTTCTCATAACTCTAAAAGAAATGTGAGGAAAAAAGAAATATTAAGGAAAAAAATTTATGCCTTACAAATCACATCTAGCATAGGAAATAATATTAATGCTCTTAAGAAAGTACCGTAAATATATAGTATATTTATGGTTATTCCAAACTTAATTATTTTTTAATTGAGAGTAAATTAAAATTCATCCAAGTCAAATGATAAAGCATAAAAAATTGTCATATAGGATTTTAAAGCATGCGAGCCTGCCACTTAAGCTCAACACATTCGAAAATTATATATATGGCTATTACTATGTTTGGTAAGCATTATAAGCCAACTTATATTTTATTTGGTTAGCTTATAAACTTTCTATATACAAATAAGTTAGGTTTGATAGGAGGAACTTTTTTAAAAAACTCGAGTTTGTCTCATAAAATTATTTGTGAATCTTTTTAAATTTGCCCATTGAAATTATTATTTCAACGAACTTATCAACTAATTTTACCAAACATTTTTATTATCAACTAGTTTTTCAGTCATAAGTTATAAACTCGAAATTCACTATACATAAATTATTAGCTAGGTTATCACTCATAAGTCATAAGATATCATTTATAAGCTCAAACTTTTATTTTGTATATAACTCAAACCTTTTCAAAGTGGAAATAAATCTGTAATTAGATTCTCTCGTTGAGTGCCGATATTCTCTCGTTGAGAGCTGTTCAGTTCTACAGTATTTTCCGATCATCCTCTTCCAAAACTCTAAATTCCTGTTGTTACTCAACATCTCATCTTCACATACTTCTGCTCCTCACCTGTTTTCTGTAATTGGTTTATTAAATAGCTTCAGACCTTTGTCTTTCAAACCTCAATTAGGGATTTCATCCATCGCTTCTAATCGATGAAAGGGCGAAGTGTATCTGGCCCGGAGGAGGACCTTTCTCAAAAACTCAACTCTTTCTCTCTCTCAGAACGAGAATCCTCCTTCATAGACCTTGATCAACAAGATATCAGAATCAGCGATGAAGAATGTCAACGCAGTCTCTTTGGACGGATTATTGGGGACCGGAAAGCGAGTTGGATTGGAGTGAAGAGAACTATGACTCACATATGGAAACTGTCCCAG